GAAACCCTGTCTCCACTAAAAATACAAAAATCAGCCAGGCATGGTGGCACGTGCCTGTAATCCCAGCTGCTCAGGAGGCTGAGGCAGAGGAATCACTTGAACCTGGAAGATGGAGATTGCAGTGAGCCGAGATTGTTCCACTGCACTCCAGCGGCCTGGGTGACAGAAAGAAACTCTGTCTCAAAAAAAAGAAAAATAAAAATAAAACAAAATTAGCCAGATGTGGTGGTGCACACCTGTAATCCCAGCTACATAGGAGGCTGAGGCAGGAGAATTCCTTGAACCCGGGAGGCAGAGGTTGCAGTGAGCCTAGATCACGCCATTGCACCCCAGCCTGGGTGACAAGAGTGAAACTCTGTCTCAAAAAAGAGAGAAAAATTGATTTGAGGAAGCTCTTTATATATTAGGGAACTAACCCTTTGCCATTTTTTTTTTCTGTTTGTCTTTAGACTTTATTACTGACAGATTTTTGCCACATATAAGTGTTGTATTTTTATGTAGTTAAATCAGTCGGTCTTTTATAGTTTCTGGATTTTATATCACAACTAATTATATTAAAAATATTGAAACTGTCAGTTTAAAAAGTTACTTGAATTGTAAATCAAGGTATCTACTGAAAAATTAAGCTAGGTATATAATTTTTCTTTGTTTTGTACTTTATGTATTTTATATACTTTAGTTTAAAATCAGAAAGTTTTTCCCCTGAAATAATTTATTTACCTTTTTATGTTCAATAGATGCCTTCCAGGATGTCAAATTTGTCAGCAACTCGTCAGGTAAGTTTAACATAACTATACTGCACAAATTTCAAAAATAAATAAAACTAATCTGTTAGAAATATGAGTTAGAACACAGTGGCATGAAACTCACATGCTATTATATTTGATGGGTACTTTACCTAGACTTGGAAGGTGAAGGGTCAGTCAAAGCTGTTTGAAACTCAGGTGAAGCTGCCTAAGAAGAGTTGGAAAGTTGTGTCCATTGGGCAGAAGTTGAAGGATAGGAATTTTAGGCAGCGAGAGCAGTGTGTGGGAAGGCCTGATAGTGAAAGACATCATGGTTCTGTCAGGAAACTGCAGAATGTAAGATGGAGATTTGAGAGATTTGGGCCTAGAAAAATGAGAGTTTCAGTTACTCTACAAGGCTTTTCATTGCACATACTTTTGATTTCATGTTCAAAGGATATTGTACAGGCAATTACTAACATGCTAGATGATGATGATGATTATTATTTTGAGACAGAGTCTTGCTCTGTTACCCGGGCTGGAGTGCAGTGGAACAGTCTCGGCTCACTGCAACCTCTGCCTCATGGGTTCAAGCAGTTCTCCTGCCTCACCCTCCCGAGTAGCTGGGATTACAGGCACGTGCCACCATGCCCCGCTAATTTTTGTATTTTTAGTAGGGATGGGATTTCACCATGTTGGCCAGGCTGGTCTTGAATTCTTGACCTCAGGTGATCCACCCAACTCAGCCTCCCAAAGTGCTAGGATTACAGGTGTGAGCCACCATGCCCTATCGAGGAAAAACCCTAAGCATCTTGGCTGGTTTGAGAAATAAAGGGAAAGTACAAGAGAGAAATTTTAAAGCTGGGTGTCCGGGGGAAACATCATACGCTGGCAGGTTCCATGATGCTCCCCGAGCCGTAGAACCAGCAAGTTTTTATTAGTGATTTTCAAAAGAGGAGGGAGTGTATGAATAGGGTGTGGGTCACAGAGATCACATGCTTCACAAGGTAATAGAGTATCACAAAGCAAATGGAGGCAGGGTGAGATCACAGGACCACAGGATGGGGCAAAATTAAAATTGCTAATGAAGTTTTGGGCATGCGTTGTCATTGATAACTTCTTATCAGGGAACAGGGTTTGAGAGCAGACAACCTGTCTGACCAAAATTTATTAGACAGGAATTTCCTCGTTGTAATAAGCCTGGGAGCGCTACAGGAGACCGGGGCTTATTTCATCCCTTCGGCTTCGACCGTAAAAGCGGCCGCCTTAAGGGGGCCGTCTATAGACCTACCCTCAGGGCGCATTCTCTTTCTCAGGGATGTTCCTTGCTGAGAAAAAGAATTCAGCGATATTTCTCCTATTTGCTTTTGAAACAAGAGAAATATGGCTCTGTTCTGCCTGGCTCACTAACAGTCAGAGTCCAAGGCTATCTCCCTTGTTCCCTGAACATTGCTGTTATCGTGTTCCTTTTTTTAAGGTGCCCAGATTTCATATTGTTAACACACGCGCTCTACAAACAATCTGTGCAGTTAATGCAATCATCACAGGGTCCTGAGGTGACATTCATCCTCAGTTTACGAAGATGACGGGATTAAGAGATTAAAAGCAGGCATAGGAAATCACAAAGGTATTGATTGGGGAAGTGATAAGTGTCCATGAAATCTTCACAGTTTATGTTCAGAGATTGCAGTAAAGACAGGCAGGCATAAGAAATTATAAAAGTATTAATTTGGGGAACTAATAAATGTCCATGAAATCTTCACAATTTATGTTCTTCTGCTGTGGCTTCAGCCGGTCCCTCCGTTCGGGGTCCCTGACTTCCCACAACATCGCCCGGCCAATTTTATTTTTTGTAAGAGTAGTTTCCTTTTTTAGATTGGATTGGAAGAAAATAGACCAGTTACTAAGGTTTTGGAGTGATTCTGGCAAAAAGATGAGAACCTGAAGTAAGATGTTTTTGACAGTGAAGAGAAGTAGGCATACTTGAAGGGATTAATGAGATAAATGCAATAGGATTTGGTGAATGTGAAGACAAGGGAAGACTTGAGCATGGTAACTACATTTCCTTCTTAGGCAACTGAGTAAATTGTAATATGCTGTAGGGTCTGATGAGGAAGTATGAGAGGAAGAAGAGAAGGTCTCTGGGTGGTAGGCTAGGAATAAAAGTACATAGAATGAGTTTATTTTAGATATGTTAAAGAGTTTTTCAAAGAAGTTCATAAAAATGAAAACAAAAAACCTGACAGGCTGGATGTGATGGTTCATGCCTGTAATCCCAGCACTTGGGGAGGTTGAGGCAGGAGGATTGTTTTGTTTGAGCCTAGGAGTTTGAGACCAGCCCGGGTAGCAGAGTGAGACCCTGTATCTACAGAAAAAAAAAAAAAAAAAGAAGAAGAAAACCACACACAAAAATCTTGGCATGGTATCATGTACCTGTAGTCCCAGCTACTTAAGAGGCTGAAGTGGGAAGATCATTTGAGCCCGGAGGATTGTTTGGGCCCGGGAAATTGAGGCTGCAATAAGCCCTGATCACCACTGCACTCCTGCCTGGGCAACAGAGCAAGACCGTGTCTCAAAAAAAAAAAAAGTCAACAAAAAGACCTGACAGTCTTTCATATTTGCCCCTGTACTTAACCATATCCAGTCCTATTCGTTTCTTCTTATAGATGGTGAGGTTCACCTGGTGTCTCTTGTTTGACGAGGCCAAAGAGTTTCCTTTATTTAGCATTTCATATAGTGCAGCTTCACTGAACATGAGTTTTCTCAGTTTGGTCTATCTGAAAATATGTTTCTTTTATTTTCATGTTTGAAGAATGTTTGCACTGGACATAGAATTCTGGGTTGTTATTTTATTGCAGCAGGTTTTTTTTTTTTTGAGATGGAGTCTTGCCCCGTCGCCCAGGCTAGATGGAGTACAGTGGCGTGATCTCAGCTCCCAGCAACCTCTGCTTCTCGGGTTCAAGTGATTCTCCTGCCTCAGCCTCCCAAGAAGCTGGGATTACAGGCACACACCACCACACCTGGCTACTTTTTGTATTTTTAGTAGAGATGGGGTTTTACCATGTTGGCCAGGCTGGTCTCCTGACCTTGTGATCTGCCCGCCTTGGCCTCCCAAAGGGCTGGGATTCCAAGTGTGAGCTGTTGCGCCCGGCCCATTGCAGCACTTTAAAGATGTCGTTGTTTTATCTTGTAGTTTTTGTTTCTAATGAGAAGGCAGCTGTCATACAGTAGTTGTCTCCCTGTGTGGAATGGGTCTTTTTTTTCTCTAGCTACTTTAAAGATTTTTTTTTCTATGCCTTTGGTTTTCAGCAGCATATCTATAATATGCCTAAGAGTGATTCTCTTTGTACTTATTCTGCTTGCGTAAATATTTGCACGTTCAAATTTTTTACCTAATTGAGAAGGTTTTTGTTTTTGTTTTTTTTCCTTTGAGAGAGTCTTGCTTTATTGTCCAGGCCCGAGTGCAGTGGCACAATCTTGGCTTACTGCAACCTCTGCCTCCCAGGTTCAAGCAATTCTCCTGCCTCAGCCACCCAAGTAGCTGGGATTACAGGTGAATGCCGCCACACCGGCTTATTTTGTGTTATTAGTAGAGATGGGATTTTACCCTGATGGTCAGGCTGGTCTAGAACTCCTGACCTTGTGATTCGCCCGCCTCGGCCACCCAAAGTGCTGGGATTACAGGCATGAGCCACTGCGTACGGCCAGGAAGATTTTTTTTTTTAATTAACTTTTTTTTTTTTCTTTATCTGATGTATTGAATAATTTCTATTGATGTATTCAGGTTCACTCACTCTTATTTCTGCAGTCTCCATTATGCTGTTTTGTCCATACAGTGAATTTTCTTTTTTTTTTTTTTTTTTGATACGGAGTCTCACTCTGTCGCCCAGGCTGGAGTGCAGTGGCGCAATGTCAGCTCACTGCATACTCCGCTTCCAGGGTTCATGCCATTCTCCTGCCTCAGCCTCCCGAGTAGCTGGGACTACAGGCGCCCACCACCACACCTGGCTGATTTTGTGTGGTTTTTTTTTTTTTTTTTTTTAGTAGAGATGGGGTTTCACCATGTTAGCCAGGATGGTCTTGATCTCCTGACCTCGTGCCGCCTCAGCCTCCCGAAGTGCTGGGATAACAGGCATGAGCCACCACGCCTGGTCCATCCAGTGAATTTTTTTTTCCTTTTATTTTTATTTTTATTTTTATTTTTGGAGACGGAGTCTCGCTCTGTCGCCCAGGCTAGAGTACAGTGGTGCGATCTTGCAAGCTCTGCCTCCTGGGTTCACGCCATTCTCCTGCCACAGCCTCCTGAGTACCTGGGACTACAGGCACCCGCCACCATGCCCAGCTAATTTTTCACTGTGTTAGCCAGGATGGTCTCGATCTCCTGACCTCGTGACACACCTGCCTCAGCCTCCCAAAGTGCTGGGATTACAGGCGTGAGCCACCACGCCTGGCCCATCCAGTGAATTTTCTTTTTTCTTTTTTTTTTTTGAGATGGAGTCTCGCACTGTCGCCCAGGCTAGAGTACAGTGGCGCGATCTTGGCTCACTGCAAGCTCTGCCTCTTGGGTTCACGCCATTCTCCTGCCACAGCCTCTTGAGTAACTGGGACTACAGGCACTCACTGCCATGCCCGGCTAATTTTTCACTGTGTTAGCCAGGATGGTCTTGATCTCCTGACCTCGTGATCCACCCACCTCAGCCTCCCAAAGTGCTGGGATTACAGGCGTGAGCCACTGCGCCCGGCCCCATCCAGTGAATTTTCGTTTCACACCCTACATTTTTCAGTGCTGGGATTGCTATTTGATTCTTGGTTATAGTTTCCATTTCACTGCTGAGATGTACCCTGTGCACTCTCATTGTGACTGTCTATTGCTGTATGTCCTTCAGCGTATTTATAATACCTGCATTAGAGTCTTTGTCTACTGATTCCAACATTTGCATCATTTAGGGTCTGTTTCTGATGACTGCTTTTTTTTCTTCATCTTTTAAATATATCTTTTTTTGGTTTGTTTTTCGAGATGGTGTCTTGCTCTGTTGCCCAGGCTGGAGTGCAGTGCTGTGATCTTGGCTCACTGCACCCTCCGCCTTGCGGATTCAAGCGATTCTCCTGCCTCAGCCTCCTGAGTAGCTGGGATTACAGGCATGTGCCACCACGCCCGGCTAATTTTTTATATTTTTAGTAGAGATGGGGTTTCACTATGTTGGCCAGACTGGCCTGGAACTCCTGACCTCAGGTGATCCACCTGCCTTGGCCTCCCAGAGTTCTGGGATGGTGTGAGCCACCGTACCCGGCCAGTAATTTTTTATTATATATTGTTGTTCTGGAGTAAATAATTTTCCTGTAAGGAGTGTTCGGTTTCTTTCTGACAGGTGATTAAATTAATTATTGGTAGATTCTTTTGTCCATTCAGGTTTGATTTTTTTCTTTGTTAGGACCGTTCTACTTCTATTTTGAATATAGTCCTAGGATGTGGACCTTCCTCTTAAGTTATAGGTTTTTTTGTGGTCTGAACTGAGTGTTCAAGGGGTTCAGTTACGTCTTTTCACGCTGAACTAAAACTGCTGTGTCTTCCAGATCTTTAGGACCCAGTTATCAGACCCACACACAGCAAGTGATTGCCGCTAGGCATCACAGAATCTCTCATAGATCCACCTTAGACCATGGCCAAAGACCCATGGTGAATCCCCATGTGAGATTTTTTTCCTTCTTGTCTTTATGGATCCATTTTCTCTGGTAGTCTGCTACAAATTCCAGCTGTTTCAACAGCCTAGAATTCTGTTCTCTACTTCCTTGCTTGGCTCGATGACTACCATTTTCTGCCTAGGTGTCATCTCTATGATTGAGAAATTTCCCCCAAGCTTGTGCAATCATGGGGGTTTACCTTATGTATTTCCTTCATTTCAAGAATGACTGCTCCATGTTTCTTCTTGTTTAATGCCTGAAACAGTTGTCTCATATATTTTGTTCACGTTTGTGTCAGGAATCTCCGAGACCACATTCCGTGATTTAGCTAGAATGAATCACAAGACTTAGCATGTAGTGGTACTCTTTATAAAATTTAATAAGTGTTATGTTATCTCTGTTGAGGAAGTTTCCTGCTTTCCTAGTTTTCTGACAATGCTTATAATGAATAGACATTCAGTTTTGTCCAGTGCTTGTTTTCCTTTTTGTGGAGGACGAGGTCTCGCCATATTGCCAAGGCAGGTTTTGAACTCCTTGGTTAAAGCTATGCTCCCACTTATGCCTCCTTAAGAACTGAATTGCAGGTGTGAGCCACCACGTCCGTTTCTTTTTTCTTTTTGGTGGGAGTGGGGAAACAGGGTCTCATTCTGTGGTCCAGACTGGAGTGCAGTGGCACAGTCACTGCAGACTTCACCTCCTGGGCTCAGGTGATCCTTCCCCTTCATCTTCCCAAGTAGCTGTGACCACAGGTGCGTGCCACCATGCCTGGCTAATTTCTGTATTTTTTTGTAGAGGAGGAGTTTTGCCATGTTGTCAGGCTGGTCTTGACTCCTCAGCTCAAGTGATCCTCCCACCTTGGCTTCTCAAAGTGCGAGGATTACAGGCACGAGCCACTGTGCCTGGCCTAGTCTTTTCTTGTAATGCTAATACTTTGCCTTTTTTTCTTTTTTCTTTTCTTGAGATGGAGTTCCTTTTGTTACCCAAGCTGATCTAGAACTCCTGGCCTCAAGCAGTCTTCCTACCTCAGCCTCCTAAGTAGCTGGAATTACAGGCTGTTTTTGTTTTTGTTTTTCTCCAAAGCAGAATGACTCTCACCTCATGAAATGAATTGGAAAATGTACCCACTTATGATTTTTTTGGAAGAATGTGTGTAGAATTGATATTTCCTCCTAAATATTTGATGAAATTCACCAGTGAAGGCATCTGGCCTCAAATTTTCTTTGTGGGAAGGTGTATTAATGATTTTTTTTTTTTTTTTTTGAGACAGAGTCTTGCTGTATTGTCCAGGCTGGAGTGTTAATTTATTTTCCTGTTCAATTTTTCTCGTTATTCTGACTTCAGTTTATCAGTTTTATTTATCTTTTCAATGACAAGCTTTTTGTTTTCTTGCTTTCCCCCAGTGTTTTTCTCTTTTCTGTTTCATTGTGGTTTTTTTTTTTTTTGAGGTGGAGTCTCACTCCGTCAGCCAGGCTGCAGTGCAGTGGCATGATCTTGGCTCACTGCAATCTCTCTCTGCCTCCTGGGTTCAAGCAATTTTCATGCCTCAGCCTCCTCAGAAGCTGGAATTACAGGCGCCCACCAGCATACCTGGTGAATTTTTGTATTTTTGGTAGAGACGGGGGTTTCACCATGTTGGCCAGGCTGGTCTCGAACTCCTGACCTCACGCAGTCCACCTGCCTCGGCCCTGTGAAGTGCTGGGATTACAGGCATGAGCCACCGCGCCCGGCCCATTCTGTTTTCTTTATCATATCTTTTCTTCTGCTTACTTTGAGGTTAATTTGCTCTTATTTTTAGTTTTTTTTTTTTCTTGAGACAGAGTCTCGCTCTGTATCCCAGGCTGGAGTGCAGTGGCGCAATCTTGGCTCACTGCAAGCTCCGCCTCCCGGGTTCACGCCGTTCTCCTGCCTCAGCCTCCCGAGTAGCTGGGACTACAGGCGCCACCGCGCCCGGCTAATTTTTTATATTTTCAGTAGAGATGGGGTTTCACTGGGTTAGCTAGGATATTTTTAGTTTTTATGGTAGAAGTGTAGGTTATTTTTTAAATGAAATTTTCAAAAACTTTATTTGGAAAATTATTATTAGTAGTATTTATTTATTTATTTTTCGAGAAGGAGTCTTGCTCCGTCGCCAGGCTGGATGTGCAGTGGCACGATCTTGGCTCACTGCAACCTCTGCCTCCCG